CAGACTCTCAACCACTGCGCCACCAGGGAAGCCCAAGACTCAAATTGGACACAGAGTTACTTACTTTAAAGAATTTCCCTGGTTTACCTTTCATTTGCATCCTCTTGTACAGCCACCTTATTTCTCCTGGATTCTCTTTGGCACCTCCATTTTACTTACTGTGTTTGGAGAACATTTTTCTTTCACTGAAGAGCACTGAGATATTCCCAGAAAGCTGTCTGTGAAAACCAGAATCCCAGCTTCACAGGCCCTGAGTTTGGAGCTCAGTGGTATCCCCAGGGGAGAGAATTACCTCCAGGGGAAACCAACAATGTGATGTCAAAAATAGATATACTCTCGGCCCTGGGAATCCATCCCTCCTTCCTCTACTTCTGCGGGTGTCTCTTCCTTAAAACAACTATTAGAGTTATTAGATGTAATCTTAGAAATAGTAGAAGCCTTAGACGGTATTTTATAGGGAAAGCACTGAAGCCCAGAGAAGTGAGGGACATTTGGAAGGTCGCTGATCTGGTTAATGACAGAGCCAGGGGTGTGGGGCTGCACTTCTGGGGGCTCCCTTGCAGCTGCACCCTAGGAGGTTGTATCAGTAGGTGGCTTGGGCAGCAGTATATCTGGGCTTCAACACAGGCAGGTGGAGAGCAGTTGCTATAGAGAAGGATGGAAAAGACATGCGTGAGGGAGCCAAAGGACCAGGCCAAATGACTCAGCCTCCGGGGCTTCTGTTCTGCTACCTACTGAGCATGTGTACTAATCTCCTGGAGACTCCTTTGGGGTCACATGAGATTCTACACGTGAAAGCTCTGGAAAACTATAATCCACGATAGCATGGTTTCCACACCAGAAGGCAGCCGCAATCCCCTATGGCTCCTGCCTTAGATCTTTTCAGGAGCATCCTTTTGGTGGAAGAAATACATGGTTTTATAAAATACTAGGATAACTTTCGCTGATGATCAAAGTAGGCCAGAGGGTGGCTCATTCATATGCTATGTGCAGGAGTATTCTGAAGTTCAGCCTAGCTGAACTTCAAAACAAGCCCTCTTCCCTGTCTCAGGGATGTGCTGTGCTCTTGTAGAAGGAACTTGGGGCTGGCACTCCTGATAACTTTGTTCTGCTCCCAGAAATATCGCTGCCTCTCTGAATGACCTTGAACAAGGTACATACCTTTTCTGGGGGACATTTTTTTTCCATCTGAAAAATGAGGATGTGTTGTTTTGTTCTTAGCAACTTCAGAGAAACATTCTTAAGAATGGCCCAAGGTAACAGATGGGAATGTTTTGGAAACAGGCATTCTTGATGCACATGAGGTGAAGATGTGTGGAATCTTTTAATAGTTTTCCCCTGGATGGACCTGGCTTATCCATCTAGATTGTCCTAAACTCATTGACTCAGAATGCCACTGCCTCCTTTCTTTGGCTTGGGTTGTGAGGACATGACATGGGAGTCTGCAGATGGCAAAGATGGGGGAGTTGTGGATGAACGTTGCTCTTTCACTTGTAACCTCATGAGCCCCCGCCTGACAGCCCACATAGGTGCTGCGGAACCCACAGTGCTCGGTTGCTAGACATTTGCTACCTGGGTTTGTGCACCCGGAAAAAGCTGGCCTTGCTGGGTTGGGAGGAGCAGAGCTCAGCGGCCACACCAGGGACGCTGATGTTGTTGGAGTAGCAGGAAACCCAGGGGTGGGTCCCCGAGGCAGGAGCCTGCAGGCTGGGGGCCCAGGAAGCTGTGGTGTGACCTATAAACTCAGTGTGGTTTTTGTCTGACTACCAGTGAATTCACAGCTCCCCTTACCCCCTGCGATGGTCCGCAATGAGGAAAGCCAGAAGCAAGGCACACACAATGCACTTTAATACATGCAATAGAGACAAAGAAGAACGGCAGAAAACCATCAATACCAAAGGTCCAGTGCCTTCAAACTTCCTGGGCATGGATGGGCAGGCAGGGGGTCATGAAGACACTGTTCTTACAGGGGAAATCTCGGGGTCTCATTCCTGTCCCTCCCTCCCAGAACACTTGCACAATGAGTTGCTTGAAAGCAAGACCCATGTCTTAGGTATTTTTGCACCCTCAGTACAGTGCCTAGAACTTGGAGTAATTCATGTTCGTTAAATCAATTAATAGAGAGAAACCCATTTCCTCTGCATTTTACTCTGATCTCTGCTAATAACTCTGAGAGTATTTAGATGAGACTTGAGAAACCCCATTGCCTGGGCAGAGAGTGTTAGGAAGTCAAATGTAGTTTTGTTTGTCAAATACTAGGAAAAGCAGAAAGTGCCTTTGTGGATGAGAACGCTAGTTTGGGGGCAAACCTAGTGCTGGGTTGAGCAGAGCCTTTTATGTTTCGGTAGAAGCCCAGGATCTATTTTCCTCTTGGAGAATGGGGCTAGGAACCCGATGGCTCCTGCTTTCTACTTCGGGAGGCAAAGAAAGTCAAAGGAACAAAACACCATTTTCAAAGTGTGTCAGTTGTAGGAAAAAAAATGTGTCCTATATACCTTCATATCTCTATATCCTTTTATAAAGCAGCATGTAAAACAGTTGGGACCATAAGCCCCCACTCTCCAGGACTTCTGTCCTTCATCAGGCTGAAGGATAAGCTGGGTTTGTTGCCTTTAAAGGAAAACTGGTTTGGGAAACAGCCATTTAAGCAAGGCTGGGACGGGTCAACTTAAACCACCAGGAAGTTGAAAGCCTAGGAGATAGCACCTCTGTAGGCTTTTGATTTCTTTCAGGGCGTGTAGCCTTCTCATGCCGGTCAGCCTGCAAGTGAAGGAAAATTGTCAGGGTTATAGAATCATAGACTGTCAGTGCTGGAAGGAATCATAGCAGTCATGCAGTCCTGGGGATGGCCAGTACTTGCTGTGGTTGTACCGTTGCAGACATCACTAAGATATCCTGGCACATTTCCCTTCTACACATGGTGATAGTTCAGCTAGTCACTATCAGTTTATCTATGTTGGCACAAGTCATAAAACCCATCTGCTCTCCTTTAGTTCTTCTTCACTTCTTTGTTTTACAGATGTGATAACCCAGGCCCAGAGAGGTGAAGCAACCTGGCCTAGGTAACATAGTGAGTTAGTGACATAGGCAAACCTAAGCCCCGGGTCAAATTTCATGTCTAAGATAACCAGAAGAGGCAATGCAAGTAACAGGCAAATAATTCACATCTCATCCTCAACTTTGCATGCATCCTGAGTCACTAGTAGTGAGCTGTTCACTAAGGATGGGAGCATAGGTTCCTCCCAGAGATAGGCTGGTCTACGCATCGAGTCCTATGATTAAGGATCGAGAGTTGACATCCCCTTTGTCTGGGCAAAGATAGGTTCTGCTCCCCCTGAATATTCTTCAAGTGAAGCTTTACTGATGGCCTTGCAAAAAGCCCATGGTCCCTTGGCCATATAAACAAAATTAGCAGTAAAGAAAAAGATTTCTCCTGTTTAGGTCCAATTATTTTAGCTCCTGAGTTTGAGGTGAGGATTATTGGCTGGTATTATATTATATTACATGAATTTTGAGTCTGGCTTGAAATAAAAGGCTAACAGGAGATGGGGTATTATGCTGAGTATCTGAAAAGGTCCACCTTAGTAAATCATAATATGTCTCTATGTGTTTTTCCTTTCTTAATGCTTCTTACCATTCCTAAACTCCTTTCCTCCATGTGCAGCATAGTTTGGGTGGAGGTAGGCATAAGAAGCAGCTAGTTCTTACCTTAAAAGAAAAATAACTTGGCAGTCAAGAGAAAATTGATGGCAACACTCTTGGCAAACAGCATTCGGAGCCCCAGCACTGCAAGGGACATCATGTTCACCTTCCCGGCTTGCACTGCAATTGAATGAGAATGACAGTGGTGGCTTCAGCAAGAGACTAAATTTCCTTCCAGAAATTGGACCCACAGCACCGAAACCAGCCTGCCCTGAATCACCATCATTCTTCCTGGTCTGAAGCCCAGCTTGGTGCCAGATAGCCTTCAGAGACCTAAGGCTGCTATTCACATCCAGTAAGGCAAGCTTTGGAAAAACCCATGCTTGCAGCCAGGCAAACTCTGCTTAGAGAGTCAGAGGGAATCAACTGGGCTCAGGTATGGTTTTTGTTTTCTTTTGAAATAGAATGATTTTGGGCCCCATCTGACAATGACAGAGTTTGCTTTAACCTCAGTTCTGAAGTTGGCCCTTTGGTTTCAACTAACCTTGGGGCTCATAGCAGGTCTCTGGAGTTT